CCAATTCCCAGAAGCTTGAATGAGTGGGTGCACATTCCTGGTCTAGTCATCTGTGACCAGGGAGGGCAGCAGCATAGATGGGATTATGCAGTGGCTGTTAGAGCCCCATCATTGTACCCACATAGACTGACACAGAAGTGTAGTTCCTAGAGAAAGGAATTGGGCAGTAAAGCCAATAGCTGAGCACCATGGCTGGGGTGCAAGAAGTGAGCATACAGGTGAGTGAGAAGTGAGAAAGCTACATTAACCAGGTTTAGTGACCAGAACATGAACAGTGGTTGGGAAACCTTTCAGAACATGTGGTCGATGGCCTTCAGAAATAAGACTTTTCTCTTGTACTAGACATAGTAAACAGTAAATCCATCTGGTTTGCAAATTCTCTTAAAAAGTCTACACAGACAATTTCTAGGGCTAAATAGAGCCAGTTCTGTTTTCTTAGAACAACAGAATGTGGAATTCCAGACCAGTGCAGCTGCGCCAAGCTAGGTCAGGGAAAAGGCACAGATTATACTGATTAATACACAGATTATACTTATTAATGTTTTGCAAACCCACCCAATCCCTTCCCTCCTAACCTTCCTTTGCCTCTCTTCACCCTGCCCTGCAAGGAAAAAGCCCGAAGTTGCTAAGGAAGAGTCAAGACAGAATTTCAGGCTGATTGGATCAGGTGTTCAGCAAAAACACCCCATATATGCTCTCTCCCAGGCCTAGTGCTGTGTTTCCAAGAAGGACACAAAGCACTAGGCTATTAGATGCCAAGCTCAGATCACTGTTCTGGCAGCCCCTCTTTGTCACAGGTGTGCTTGCTGGAAATTTGCACGATAGGAGTCTGGAAAAGGGAAGGTGCTGGTGGGAGGCACAGTGGAAAGAGCATTAAGATACATAATCAGGCATCAGCAGATTTGACTTCGGGTTCTAACAAACCAAGCAACTTGCCCACATCAGTCCATTAAATCAGGACAAGGCCACCGTGGGCATGTGTGCTGTTTTGTGTGAATTAAAGGAATTCATGCCTTCCTCTATGTTGGAGCACAGGGTTGGAGCGTCCTTGCCCAGGAAACACCTCTGCAACCTTCACGGTAACTTTGCATCATGGTGCCCCTCTAAGAATAAGGTGAATCTGTGCAATAAGAGAGGCCTCAGGGTGGTCTCAACCAGCCTTGGTGATAACAAGAGGCAAGGAGAGCCCTCAAGGCAGCCATGACACCTGTCATCCCAACCCAGGTCAGAAATAATGAGCCAAAATGATCTCTCCCCATCTAGAAACCCACACTAACACCACTGGGGTGAAGCAGAGGAGAGAGTCATGAATATGCTCACATCAACACACTTAGCTGGTAACTTCTGCATCATCAAGAAAAAACAGTTTTTAAAGGCTTCAAGCTGGTTGGTTTTAACTTACATATTTTTCCCAAACCCCTCCAGCCTCTCTTTTCCTGGGTCTTTATATATATATATATATATCCTGTTCTTACAGCTATTTCCACTACCATGTCTATGTAATCTGAGTAGAGGTTCAGTGTTTAAAATTATTTAGAAGCCATGTATTCTCAGCCACTAGAGTTCATTAACACAGTAGGTGTTAAACCCTACTTCCCCCCACTTTTTTATGCTTTTTGAAGACACCTATGTATGTATGTATGTATGTATGTATGTATGTATTCTTGCTCTGGATTTCTCTAAAACCCTATTAGACCTACATTCCTATTTAAATTTTTGTTTTCCTTGAATGCCCTGCGTGGTTCTGTTAAACCACATGCCTGAACCTCTAGCACAAGGAACCACAAAAAGAGGACACACCACACAAATCTCATTCTGTGTACCAAGTCGTGAGCTATTTGTCCTTATCTCTTCCTCCAACCTCGCTCCACCTTGCTCCTAGGTTCTAACTTCATCGCCCATTTTCCATTTACATTTTCACCTTGCCTAATGAACTTGACCCTCCAAACCTTTTCTCCAGCTATAGATACTGAGATCCCTCCCAGCTAACAACACTCTGGATTCTGGTGGTCTCCTCCCAGCCTGAACTATTTTGGGTCAATACCTCTCTGATGTGGCTCTGTATGCTCTAGAGTCATCAACCTCATCCTCCTTGAGTTATACACCAGTGAGGCCACCCAGCCTCATGAACAGGAAAAGGGTAAGGAGGATTGAGGAAAAACCCAAGGACATTTGGAAGGAGCAAGTAGGTGTCCCTTCTTCAAGATGAGAGTACTCACCCCACTTTCAAAGAAAGACATTATGAACCTTCTGGCAATAGATCCTGAATCCCCTATTAGTAAACTAATGGGGAGAACTTGGTGATATCTAAAAGGAGTTTTAGGGGCTCAAAAAAGCTGTAAACATGTTTCATAAAGAGTCAAGTGAAAAATCAATATAGGTTCTCATTCAAGTTGATTGTCGGTTAACGCTTCCTAGATTACTTTGCCTATAATAGTTTAACCTCTGAATATCATTCTTAAGTTCTTGCATGTTTCTGAAATCTCAGGGGGTAGGGGGGTGCTCTCTCTGCTCCCAGGCTTGTTCCACTCAAATTCACCTTCAAAAGTGTCCAGAGACCCTTCCATTTGCCTGCTGGGAACCCCTTGGTGATTTCCCAAGACCACCAGCTCTTTGGTCTGGATACAAGGTCCTGCGGACCAGGGCCTGCCTCCTTACCTGTTTAGGTATCTCTGTCCCTTCCAAGACTCTCCTGTGAGGCAGGACCTATGTCTTCTTTGTTTCGGTATCACTATCAACAAGAGTCACACCCAACCCTTGGTGGACACTTCATAAATCGTGACTGTATCAATTGATTAATTAATTAATATCATGGACAAAGTGCTCCTAATTGGAGCCTAATCTTGTTTATTTCACTTCTCACCTTTTTGTGAGGAAAAAAAGTTAAGTGACTTCACTGTATTTTCAGCTGCTGAACCTCAGCATCTCTGGACTTTACTTACAGAAGCAAGTCCACAGACCTAAGGGAAGATGTGGCCAGGACACCCTCCACTGTCAGTGTCAGCAAGGCTGAGGTCCTTGAACTTGAAGCCTATCCTGGTTGGTGATGTGGAAAATAGCTAGAAGCCACTGAGAGGCTGCAGCCAAGGGGATGCTTTTCTAGACTGAACCCACACACCCGGACGGCCCCCAGAGATCCCCAGGGCGAGTGAACATCCACTAGCACAGGAACTTGACTCCCCACGGAGGCCACCCTAGCACCAAGCCCACCCCTATCTTGTTCCCCAGTGCCCAGCGTCTGACGCCCACTTCCTCTTCTGCGTTCCACAACAGTGAGGTCTTCCAGAGCCCAGTCTAGCTTCTGTTCCCACTTGCCTGCATTCCAGAATGTCTCATGGAAAGGTTCCTACTTCTCCAATTTTTCTCCCAAGAATGCGGGGATCTTCTGCTGTCCAGGAAAGCCAGGATCCTTGCGTGCACTCAGCGGGTTGCAGTTCAAGAGTTCTCTCCTTGGTAGTTCTTGCCAGTATGAAGCAATGGTAGCAATTGCTACTCTCCTTACACCCTCAAGGCTCAAAATAACCCAGCGATGGAAGCACAAAGCAAAGGTCAGCAGGCACTTGTCTTGTTGACCTGATGACGTTTTTGCTAACTTGGGCCCCTTTGTGAAAAGCAATTTCTCTGGCAGGCAGCTGAAATCAGGGTGTTGAGAAGAGGCAGTGTGTGCAGTAGAAAGAGCAAGAACTATAGAACCAAAAGGTCCAGGTTTAGGTCCTTGCCCCCAGCTGTGGGATCTTAAACACGTCTTCAAACCTTTCTGAGCCCCCTTTGCCAAGAGTCTAAGAAGTTAGACAAATATGAGTCAGCCACATATATAGCAAGCAAACAGAGAACCGGAGAAGTTAATCCTTCCCTGAGTGTCAGGTTCTTCCCCCATGAAAATTAGAGCAAAAATATTCCCCCTTGAATCGTCTCAGAAACCTCCTGAAGCTCAGAGGGGTTGAACAGCTTTCCAAGGTCACACAGCTAATGTCTAGAGCCCAAACTGAGCCCAGCTTTGTCTAATTCCAAAATCACATCTCCCAAGTTTGATGCATCTGAAGTAAAATAAGACACATACATCGTTTCTGCTTTGAGCAAACTCAAGTGTTTGAGAGACATTATCTTTACACATGAAAGTGTGCCTTGGGCCCCTACATATTTAGTAGAGACGTCTTGGACATGCCCCTTTTTCCTTTGCTACTGGAAAACCTGGTCCAAGTTTGTGGCTCCCCGAGAGCGAGATAAAGGGCCTTACCAACATCCGTGGTGTGTGTGCACTTGCCTCACATGCCCAACCTCACTTCTTTCTGCTTCCCTACACTCTTTCTCTTTACTACACTGTTTGATTCGAAATAATACTTTATCTTGTTATTTGGGGGTGTATCTTTGTAAGTAGACTGCCTTTGTATATTTTGTAGAAAGGTAGAGGATGAATAAATAAATAATTCACAGCTCTGCTCTACCCCTAATGAAGTACAGACAGGCCAGGTTTAGACACTGGTTGGCCAATGTCTGGTTTCAATCCTCACTCTCTGTGAGGCCCCTGACTTTAAAGCCCTTTCATTGCTAACGTTGGGACCACTCATACTCCCCCACTCTATCTACAAGTTCATTCATTAGGGGTATTGGTGAGCCCTGATGTGGGCAGTCGGGATTTAGGGAAACAAGTACATCAGTCTGCTGGGCCCCTCCAGAGGCTGGTCCCAGTTTCACTGAAGGCATTCCCAGTGTTTCTGACAAGCTATGTCTCAGGGCCCCACCAAGGCCATTGAGTTCCCATCAGTCTCTGTGCCTACCCTCTGCTGAGATTTCCTGCTCAATCACCAAGTTCCTCCAGAACTGGGCCTTTGCCCTTGTCAGACCCCATCCTAGAGCCTGGAGTCCACGAGCCAACCCAGAGGCCTTCAGGGGCCAGGATATGAGCACAAAGTGCGCAAACTTGGAAGTAAAGGCGCTGAGGCTACACTCAGAGTTGACCTTCGAAATCAGTGGATCAGAACAGAGATATGCAAATTTACCTGGAGGACCTAGGAAGGCTCCAAGCAGGAGAGGTTGGAAACCCCCATGGCTTCCGGAGAAAGATGAGTCACAGCACAGCACAGCTCGCCAACCTTTGCTATTGAAAAAAAAAGAGAAGGTCACAAAGTCAAAGATTTGATCCAACAACTTGTAATAGTATAAGCCCATTGGCAGGACTGCCCCTGCCATGTGATTAGCAATTGAGAAGTCTTACAAAGATGTCATTAAACATTTGATGGATCTATTTCTTCGTGTTCCTATGTCATACTTACTGCCCAGCCCTCCCAGGAGGTCTGCTTGCAGGGAGAGCGTGAGCCTATTATGACAATGAAAACATACCATCCCTGTAACCTCAATTTAGCAAGTTCCATGGATAATTTGGTTCCTGAGACCTTCTTCTATCTCAGGAGGAGAATCTACTCCTGAGTCACAGATAGGCTGCCAGCAACTTCACAAAATAGAAGTCTAAGTCTGAATGCCCACAGGATCACAGAGAATTCACCAAAGGAGAGAATGTCACCTTATAAGACAGACCCTTCAGCAGCCAATCCCTTTGGGATCATTGGGTAGGCTATTTAGCTGCCAAAAGTACTCTTTTCTACATTTGAAATTCCACTTCTCTCTGGTCTCCCTGAAGCTGCCGCCCACAGTGGCAGCTCTCCCCATAAACCTCATCTGCTCTGGTGAACTTCCTGGCAGCTGCTCTCTATCTGGACTGCATACCAAAGTCCCCGGAGAGCAAGCGCCATGGGCAGGACTCACCCTGCCCCCTGTGTAGTTGGGCCAGACTCTAACCACTGACCAGCACCCTGTAGATGAGCGTGATTTCCAATATTCCTCTCCATCCAACCAGTTTCATTGCCTAACCCCCTGAGACCCATGCCTTCCCTCCCACTGGGCTCCCTGGCAACCACCACCCTGCCCAGCTCAGACAGGAAGCAGAGGTTGTCTCCTGGAGTAACTTACATATTCAAATTTTTCCTATCCTAGTACACTAGGATATGAGGATATCCTAGGTGTTACTGGACCTGTATCAAGAAGGAAGAAGGGGGAATTACAAGAATATGGATTTACTGAAACAGGTATTTTGTGTTTGGCCATCCAACTGGAAGAGGTCTTATTTAAACTCTTGAGGGAGCAGGGAAACGGGATCGTTCACCCACTGCTGGTGGGAAATAAAATTCTTGTAACTTTGCTGGGAAACAATTTGGCAGTGTAGTATATTGAAATGTCTTTAGAACTCAAATGTACTTTAAAAAATCAATTTTACTTCTAGGAATTTACCCTGAGAAAATAAAGATATACACAAAGATTAATCTGCAAGGATGTTTCTTGCAGTATTTTTTAGTACTAGTGAAAAACTACATATAAATTATACATGTAACAGAAGATTCGTTAAATAAATGCTACATTTATAGAATGAAATACTATGTGGTCTTTTAAAATGATACAGAAACACATTGATAGACGCAGGAAGACGTTTATAATATATTGTTAAGCAGAGAAGAAGGTTACAAATTTATACATGGAAAAAACCTGAAAAGATTTACTAATACTCTTACGCAGTCATTAATTTGTTCTGGAACGTGTGACGAGTGCTGCAACTGATGAGTACCGAACAATGAGGCGTTTTCTCTTGCAGGGCAGCATGGTGACTCATCCAAGTTCTCTCAAGTGCAATGAGTCCCAAGCAAGCTCCAAGTGCCGAAACATTTTGTTTCAGTCAAAGTGCAACAAGTACAGGGTTTGATGAGTCCTGAAGCAAACAAGTACAGAGATGTGACTACATTTGAATGGTGGAATTTATGGGTAATTTTTATTGACTTGCTATCAGTATTTTCTCCTTTTTAGGCATAAATATGCATTACTTATATAATAAAAAATGCAGTAAAATCTGGGGTTTTTTTTTAGAGTATGGACTTGGTAGTCACACAGACATGGCTTCAAACCCCAGCTAAGCCACTGATTAGCCATGTGTCCCTGGAGCTGTTCCTTACATTCCCCGAGGCTCAGTTCCCTCATATCTAAAATGAAGATACTAGTGTATTTTTCACAAGCCTGTTGTGAGGATTAAATCGGGAAGCATAAATAAAGTACTTGGCACAGAGCAGACACTGAATGACATTTTTCCCTTCCTTCCTGCATGTCCAAAAACACCTCAGAATAACAACTGATGAACAAGAGATGGTCAAACACACACACGGAATCATGTAAAATGTGAGTTTGAAAAATTAGGAGGAACCCATATCTAATGCTCTACCCTTAATTCTTTCTTTTCTGACCTCCTCACTCCATGCAGCAGTGGGATCAGGGAGCTCCATTGTTAGCAAGCCTGTCTCCCAATCCAGGCGGAGTCAGGCAGGTAGTGTTACCCAGCCCCACCAGCAGGTGGGGCCAGTCTCCACCCTGTACCTCCACAGACCCTGGTGCACCCACTGGCCTGTAACAGACAGCAGCTCATGGAAGGCTACCAAAGTGGAATTGACTGGAAACACCTGAAACCCTCTTCTCTCATCCCTATGTGCTCCCACCTCAGTTCAGGTCTGGTTCATGGCTCCTCCCCCTGTTGGAAGTCTCATTCTTACCACTTTGACCTTGAGCTTCCTCGTTCATGATTTCAATTCACTATCAGGAATCCAGCCGGGATCTGCCCTGTCTCCTCCCAGCTTCTCGTTCATTCACTCTTCAAATCTTACAACCACCTGATGGGTTCTAAACTTTGTGCCAGGGTATAGAGATAAATGGATCAGCTTCTGCTGGGGAAAACCAGCAGGGACACAGAACAACACACCGTAAAGCTCTGTTATGGTGACTATTACTATTACAGTACTTCTACAGCACTTACGTTATGACAGGAGGCGTGTTAGTCATGTATGTTACGCTTTCTTCCATCCTCACAGCCTACCTTCCTGAGGTAAGTTAAAATGATCTCCGTGGGCCCTGGCTGGTGTAGCTCAGTGGATTGAGCGCAGGCCTGCAAACCAGAGGATTGCAGTTCGATTCCCAGTCAGGGCACATGCCTGGGTTGCAGGCCAGTTCCCTGCAGGCTATTTCCCAGCAGGTGAAGCCGTAGAGGCAACCATACATTGATGTTTCTCTCCCTCTCTCCTTCCCCTCTAAAGATAAACAAATAAAATCTTTAAAAAAAAAAAATGATCTCCGTGGGAGGGGGAGATGAGGCACAGAGAAGTAATTTGCCTAGGATAGCAGAACCAAGACTTGAACTGAAACTTCTTTACACTCTTAAAAATGGCTGAAGATACTGCGGAACTTTCCTTCATGTGAATCATGTCTCGTGCTAGTTACTGCATTAGAAACTAGAATAGAGAACATCGTTGAACATTTATTTATTAATTCCTTTAAAATAGCAGTGGTAAATTCATTACATGTTAATCTAAATAACATGCTTTTTAATCAAATCCAGTTATATAACAATTAGTATGAATAGCAATGTTTCACACGGTTGCAAAGCTTTTTAATGTCCTACAACTACACCCAAACATAGGTCGTGTCTTTTTAAAGACTAGTTGTGATGAACCTAACAGCTCATAGTGAAAGATGCGAGTTTTATCCAATTCTTATTTTTATTTGAAATCAAATTTTACCATTCGCAGCAGACACCATCACTTGTCTTTCTTAAAGTGACACCCCCCCACTTCATTATTTGGGAAAAATTAAAAATCTGCCACCCACCCACATCTGAGTAACCGTAGTATGTGTGCCAGTTGCTCTTTCAAGGGAAATAATGTTCCATGAGAAAAGGCCCTGCTCCTGACTCCCACAACTGCCCAGTTCTTTCCCCCAACACTGTCCCTGTCCTTTGGGGTCTAGTGGAAATGCTCTAAGTGTGCTCACCATTTTATCACACAAAAATTAAAAAGGCAGAGATACCCAGGGTCAAATTTACTGTATTTGACCATGTGTACTGCTTCATCAAGAACATTCTTAAGTGAAACTGGCTTTTACTTTCTGTACAGGTGTGGCGGTGAATCATACGATGCTCACTGCTATGGTTGGGTACCACCACCTGGACTCATCCTGAAGCACAGCAGTTTGGACCTCTGTTGCTTTTGCACCATCACCTCAAACACCAACTCAGAGAAAGGGCAAATGACATCTTCGTCACAGTATGAAAATAACTCTGATCCCACGGACCCCTGAAAGTGTCTCAGGTTCCCCCAGGGTCCTCAGACCATGCTTTGAGAACTGCTGCTCTGTATGGGACTGTCTGGGATGTTTTGGAGCTGTGTGAGCTTCCTCATGGATCAAAGTTCAGATGAAAGCCCCACCCTAAACCCAGACTACACATGACCCCCACAACCCACCTGACCTTGGCCAGCTGCTTTCTCTTACCTCTAAGAGTCAGACCCAGTCCTTCAAACTGCAAGGTCTGGCTTAGCTAGACCACTGACCACCCATCTGTCCTCAATCTAGACCAACCTCACCAGGGCGATACTTCAGTTCACCTCACACCTATAATACTGAGTGGAACTCATCTGTCCCATGTCCTGACTGTGTCGGGCATGACATTATTGAATTTAATTCTCATTAACATCCCTGCAAGTTAGATATCATCATCCCCATTTTGCTAGTGAAGACACTGGGGCTCAGGGACACAGGAATCCCACACAGAACTGTCTGACACAAGAGCCAAGTCCTCGCATTGCCTTCTGGTCCATCCTCACAGTGCCGTTCCCACCGCCTGTCTAGACTTCCTCCCCTTTGGTCCGCCTGCTGGTGAGGTTCCAGCATGGCTCACACCAAAATTTCCTGAAATGAGAAAATTCCCAGCACTGGTGGCTTTACTCACCCAGTGTCAGAATTCCTCATATTCACAAATCACTCAGATGTTGGAAACTCTGAGCCTCTTCAGTCCCTGGAAGAGATAACTGATAAAGTCAGAGCTGAGTTCACTTCTGCCATTGTCTGGAGTGTGTGAGGCCAGGGGATTCAGCTCTTCCTTTGATGGGGGCTAAGGGGTACTTCCACCCAAGCCGATAGTTTGTCATCTCTGTCTTTGTATGAACACAGAGTTGATGTCCTCTGGTCCCTGCCTCTTCCTCAGTGCCAGGGGCTCCCTGAAAAAGCCAGAGCCCATTCAAACCAGTCACAAAGCAACTCCCCAGGATGTGACTAGGATAAGAACCACATCCGAAGACTCAGGTTCAGAACAGTTTTCCAAAAATAAACCCAAAGCTTTAGTAAATAAAGCATTAGGAATATTTTACTTAGGAAAGCAATTTCACAGAATGGCAAAAAAATAAAACTATTGTCCTCAGCCTTTGTTCAGACATTGTTCATTTCTGGTACGTTTTGCTAAGTGGTGGTTTCATATCTGACATTGATGCAAGGGGAAATGACCCATGTTTATGAAAATTATACCATTTCTTCAGAAACCAGTGTCCTTTAAGCACTGGTTTGTGACAGGGCAGAGAACTTGATGAGGATTCAACATTGTGGTGATTAAAGCCAGGCTAGGAGGAATATGTAATTTGTGCAAAAGAGCCAGGAGAACAGTGGCTAAGGAAGAATGCCATTAAATAAATCGGAAGGGGACACGGCTGTGCAGTCTTGGCTCCCCAGAGTAAGAGGGGACAAAAACACAAAGAATGATTTCTCAGGACATAGAAGCAACAACACTCGGCATAAGGGAGGGCAAAGCATTTGGTATAATGGACATGAACTAAGCCTTCCCTTACGCATGCCACCAGGACAAACAGACCCTATCACTGCAAGTGTGATCTTCTTGCTGTCACTCATTCATCCAATAGTTCACAAGCACACAGCCTCAGCTGGGCTCTGGGGTATCTTAGTGATGAAAGCACTGTCTGTGCCCCCAGGAAGCTTCCAGACCAGTGCGGGGGAGAAATCGTGCCAACAGTAGAGGATGGGAGGGTAGCAAATGCCATCAGTTCTGATGGGGAAGGAGTTCTACCCAGGAAGGCTTCCTAGTAAACATGGCAACTGACTTAGTTAAACTCCCAGTGAGGGTGGTGGGTGGGGGTTGCACAGATGTGGACGTTGAGAACAGCATGATACTGCCAAATACATCAATCGCCAACTTTCTGCATCTGCATGACATCCTTTCACTTAAATCCTTCAGAATTAGTGTAACTTCTATGGCCCTTAATTGAAGCACGGTAAGCAATAAATTATTATATTTAACTTAGAAAAGCAGCACAAGCTAGTGGTGAAAACCAAGGGGCTGTGGAGGACAGACAGACCTAGGTTTGACCTGGGCCCCTGCCGTTTCCTAGCTGTGGACAAGTTGCCTAACCTCGGGGAGCCACACCTACCTCACAGGGGTGTTACGAGGAGTGGGATGAAGCAATCCGAGTGTCTAACACATCACATTTCATTCTTCCTCTCAGCTCAAGTGACCACATTCCAAATATCCCTCAATGCCATGGATTGCTCTTACTCTCCAACTCCACAAACTTCATCCAGGCTGCCATCATCTCTCACCTAGACCGTGGATGACCTCAGCACCGTTGTCCCAGCTTCCTGTCTTGTTCCGCTCAGTCCATTCTTCACACATCAGCCAAACCTGCTTTAAAACACCCACATGCCCGTGCCTTTCTGCTGCTTCTAACCCCTCGATAGCTCCCCCTCCCTCGTCCTCAGATACAGTGAAACAAAGATGGCTCACGGGGCCTTCACCGTGTGACCCCTGCTCCCCACTCAGCCCCGTCTGCCCCCACTGTCCCATCACACACCAAGTCGCTTTTGCTTCCAGAACTCTGAGTGTACTTCCTTCCACCTGGAACACAGCCCCTGGGCCCCCTGCCCAGCTACTTCTCCAAGCTAATGCCTCCTCTTTCCCGCTGCTCTGTGCTCCTTCGCTTCTTTTGGGAAGATTTCCGTGATGCTGTCCCCCAAATGCCACAGCAACACGGGATTCAGGCCCCTCACTCTCACGCCCACTATTGCCATTTCCCCCACTGTCACACTCTGTTGAAATCTGCTTCTCTGTATCCACTGTTGGATAGTCGTGTCTTGGGAGCAGGTTTTGTAGTTTTTATCCCCAGTATCTCACCTGTTTTGAATGAATAACAATCTCACAGGCAATCAATGTCAGAGATGAGATTAAAACCCAAGTCTTTCTAGTCCTCAAACTCACAGGCGGCCACCAGGTAAAATTTGCCTAAAAGCAGGGAGTGTTGTACCTCTCTCCACCCCAACCCATTTCCTCCCACCAGCTCCCCCAACAAAGCCTACAGCCCCCCTATTAAGTGTGGACTCAATTTCCACGGGGAATTCATATCTCCCTTGCAGACCAAGACTTTATTCGTATTGTGCAAAATTTTTATTTTCAGAGAAACACTCAACCCATTGATTCTGGAGCAAACATTTTGGAGTGATAGCGACAAGCAGGGGGCTTTCCTGAGCTCAGGACACTGGATTCAGGGAGCGGCAAAAACCACAATGCAACTCAGTTCAGGAGAAAATTTCTGGAAATTTGAGCAAGCTGGCTTGGTCGTTACTCACTAAAATGCACTGAGTCAACCCTCATTCTTTGGTCAATATTTGTGAACTAAACACATGACAAACAGCTTCCTTTGCTGTTCAAGATGTGCACACTGACTGATAGGGCCAGAGACAAAATCCCTGGGAACAAAAAAAGAAGTTGTATAACCGGCTATTGACCTTTTTCCCATTTGGGGAAGTGCCATCATTTGATGGGAAGACCACAAGTAACAGCTGAACACAGGAGACTCTCCCTCCCCCACCCAGAGTCACTTGAGTCCAAAATATAAAGGGACTTGTATGTCACACGAAGGAGTTGGGACACTAACAATAATAAAGCTATTTGTTGAGGGTCCAAATTGTGGTCGACACATTTAATGGATTTCTCAAATCCTGAAAGCTAAAAATTATAACCATGTTAAGAGTAGTCATAAAGCTAAGAATTATATAACCATATAAATTTGGGAAATGATATAGGAAAGTAATGGCACGTGCCATTGTCACTCAGCTGCTAAATGGTAGAAAGGGGATTCAAATGTGTCCTTTTTTGCTGTGTCTCCCCTGCCTTCCCTTGGTCCCACCCACCACCATCTCTCTTTGGAGTAATAGCTCCTAATGGTCTTTCCTGCTTCTACTTTTTCACTCTTCAGAGTGATCTATATAAAAATGCACATCAGGTTATATTAACCTTCTGTTTGACATCTTCCATGGTAATAGGCATTGTTGCTACTTCCCAGCACCCCTCCTGCTGTGGTTTGGGCGGCATCCACCCCTGCTCCAGAAGACAGACTAATTAACCAGTCCCGGGAGTCCCATTGGCCCTCTGCAGAAATTGGTAATCTGGGCTTTGCATTCTCTTGGTCACAGAGATTGGGCTGCAGAAATTGGGTGGAGTGTGAGGAGAGACTACTAGTCAGAAGCCCAGCATTGAGTATCTTTTGCGGTTGTGGGGAGTAATCTGCTCTCCTTCTCTCTCACTCTGTCCCTCCAGGATCTGAGTGAAAAACAACACAGCCTCTGTGTCTGCTGCAGCCATCCCATGACCTGAGGAAGGCGCTGGCCTATGGGGATGAGGACGGAGCCAAGGGAATCGCAGAGACACGGAGCTGGAGCCCTGACCGCACCACATCTGAAGCCTCTCCACCTTTCAACCTTTCAGTTATGGTGAACCAATAAACCCGCTTTATTGTTCAAGCCAGCATGGGCTAGGTTCTCTAGAACTTGCCACAGAAAGTCTCCCGGGTGATTCAAATGCCTCCCGATGCTCTTTGAATTACATCCAGATGCCTTACCGTGGTATTAAAGGCCCACGAAACTGTAAGATCAACGAGTAGTGAGGGTAAGGACTAGACTTGCATTTACCCTGGTATTGCTAGCCCCTCACATCAATCTAGCATAGAGCAGGCACTCTGTAAAAAAAAAATTTTTTTTTGGATGATGGCCCCAGATCTCTCTTTCCCTCACACATGACCTGCTTCCCAAAGGCAGGGCAGCCCTCTGGGCTCCTGTTGGGCTCCCTCTGGGGTCTCCCTGTCTCATCTCATCAACTCATCTCTCTGCAAGTAGCTCTGCATTTTGCCCAACATCAGTGTTGTTAAACCTTCAGCAATGCCACCTGTGTCCTGGGGGAGACCGTCATCAGGGAGGGCTTGGCAGTTCAGAATGTGAAGATGGGTCAAGCTGTCTATGGATTTCCAGACACACCAGTAGGGGACAGCGGCCCAGCAACACCCAAGCTGCAGGTCTGTAAGCACTCCCTTGAAAGAACCTCTGGAACAGGCTGGAATTCTGTTCAAGTCAACACGTACATGGGGTGGGGACTCAGAGCCGCTGTGATCTGAGCACTGATGAACATGACCAGTGGGGCACGGAGAACTGGCCAGGTGTTGGTCAGAGGAACATGTTATTCCTTCTGTTTATCTAACCAGCAGGCTCCTTGCTGCCTCAGGCCCTCTGTCTACACTGTAGTTTCCTCTGCTTGATCAACCAGTTACTCTGCTTCGGGACCAACCTTTGTCTTAATTCGCTGCAGAGTGTTTATCAATACCTAGTTGTATTTATTTGTGTGTTCATTTTTCTCTCTTTCCCTTTCAAAATATAAGCTCCAAGACCACAATGACCTTGACCGTCTGGCTCACCACCGCATTTCTCATTTCCAGAAACCCCCACTAAATCACATGAAATCAATGAAAAGTGGCCCCATGACCTCAGAGACCCATCCCCTTGCAGAGCTGGCTCAGCCCCACCCCTGAGGTATTATTCACATGTGACCTCCTCAGGGAGGGCTCCACCCCCTCACATAGAGTAACCCCTCCTCCCACCCCTCCCCCCTCATCCTGGTCACTTTCTGTCAAGGCCTATGCTTATGTCCTTCATAGCCCTGATCACAGTGTGAAAGTATCTCATATGTTTGTTATCTGCTTTCTCAAAGGAAGATCAACTCTATCATTCCCTGTTGAATCTCCAAAGGCAAGACAGTAAGCAGGGGCTCAGTAAACTTTTATGGAAGGATTGAAGGACTGAAGGAGGGGGTGAGAAGGGAATCTCCAGGGCTCTGGCACCAGTGAACAAGAAGAGATAAAAGAAAGAAGGAATTAAGCTTGATTTCAGAGTAGCTTGGTGAGGTAAACAGGGTGGGCTGAGCTACGTGAACAGGATTAGGCCGGCCATGTTGTAACTGTCTCAAAATGGCATGGCAGCTGAAGTTCAGATTCTAACCCAGGTCTCTGATTCATTTTCCAGTTTCCTTTCTACTGAATCATAGAGGTTTCCTGTTGAAAATTCATCTACATGTATGCTTAAAGGATCAACAATCTTCCCTGTCCCCACCAGTCCAGATTCTCATGAGGTGGAGAGACTGGCTGTTGGAGAAACTGTAACTAAATCTCTTGGTTTGTTTGTCTTCACAATGCTTCAATTAAACCACTTTAATGAGGCACCACCAGTCAATACCAGCCTGATATTTTAAAAGTCTCTCCGCGTCTTTGTGCTACAGCCAGACCTCTGGCTTCTCTTTCTCTCAATTATTACCTTAACCGTGCCCCGGAGACCTAAGGAGCCAGTTTATTTTGACTGGGAGATTGTTAAACTGCAGGAGGCAAATGTGAGACACTGCCAGGCTGTGATTTCCACTGCTCCGCATGGCCACGGGTGCTGAGAATAGCCCGGGCCGCTTCCTGCTGGAGGAGGAAATGGCGGTTTCCTCAACTCCCGAAACATTGCTTCCTCTCTGGTGCCTAGCTCCGTGTCAACCAATTAGACAGCCTCTTCCCACCTCCAACCCCCAGAGACCTGGCTCCAGCCTGTGGAAGGCATCCTGTTTCCCCAGAGGAAGTGGCCCGGCTTGAAGGATGCTCTAGGGTATTGGAGTGAGGGGTGAGTAGGTAGTGGGGCAGGAAGGGGATGGCCAGTAGTAGTAATGATCGTGTTGTCCAGTGTCAGCTAAGTGCTATGCACCCACCACCCCCCCCTTGTCCTGACGCTCGGAGACTTAAGTAAACTTGACCTAAACTCTTACTGGTTTTTGATGGTCCAGAGTCGTCCTAGATAGAAAAATCAGGTCCTTTTCTTGTTTCTACGACAAACATGCATACACCACACATTCCAGGAGCTTTGGCACGTTTGCAGAGGATGTGAGTGGTCACAGGGAACCATCGTATTTCCTAGCAAGTAGCCTCACGGAGAGGGCTCTGGAGCCAAACTTCCTGGGTTCAAATCCTGCCTGATACGCCCTGTCCCCTATCAGCTATACGTTATCAGGCAGGTCACGTTCTCTGGGCCTCAGTTTTCCCTCTCTTTTCCTCCACCGTATAAGGAAATAGTTGTGCCAACCTCATCAAGATTCAATGAGATAAAGCACTTAAAACAGACAAAGCACTTGGCAAATAATTCAGTACTCTACAAATGTCCATTATTGTTTTATTCTGCTCCCTCTTCCCTCTCCAAAGAAAATAAAACTTCCTTTATCTCATGAAGAATAATGATACCTCTTCTGTGAAACCTTGGCCTCTGCCAGGGTGCAGGCCCTTGGAATTCCAGCTTCTGGAGAAACAGTCCTTCTCAGGCTGTGGCACTGGGGGCTCTTCTCCTTGTATATCACCTGAGTGAATGTACCTTTCTCAGTCTCATTACCATTTACTGCCACTTCATAGCAACGACTCACCAAAT